TTCGTAATCGTGAAGAGCATGTCATCCCGCAGCGAATCATTGATGGGTAGTTCCTGCGGAGTTTCAAACTGAATTCTGGACAAGTGATCGGCAACATAATTTTCTACTCCCTTTTTATCTTTTATTTCTAAATTAATTTTTTGGAGTAACAAAATCCATCTTATAAGCTGAGGTTTAGTATCTTTCTTAGTGAGTAGGTATTTCAAAGCAGCCTGATCAGTATAAACAATCACCTTAGCTCCTACTAAGTAAGATCTAAACTTATCAATAGCAAAAATAATAGCCAGGAGTTCTTTTTTAGTTGTTGCATAATTAAGTTGAGGTCCTGTCAAAGTTTTGCTAGCACAAGTAATTGCATGATGCTTCTGATCTCTTGTTTGTCCCAATTTTGTCCCCACAGCATAATCACTAGCATCACACATAATTTCAAAAGGTAGCGACCAATCAGGGGGTTGAATGATTGGTGCAGAGATGAGTGCTTTCTTAAGAATGTTAAAAGATTTCAAGCATGCATCATCAAATTTAAAGGGAACATCCTTAGCCAAAAGATTTGTAAGTGGTCTAGCGATATGTGAAAAAACTTTTATAAAGCGGCGGTAAAACCCTGCATGGCCAAGTAAACTGTGGATCTCTCTAATATTTATGATAGGAGATAACTGTTTAATTACTTCAATTTTAGCCTTATCTACCTCAATCCCTAGTTCAGACGCCAAGTGTCCAAGCACTATGCCTTCTCTAACCAAGAAATGACATTTTTCCCAATTAAGGAATAAGTTCTTTTCTTCATATCTTTGCAAAACCTTATCAAAATTTTCAAGATAATCATCAAAAGTTTTTCCATCAACAGAAAAGTCATCCATAAAAACTTCCATGATTTCTTCAATCATATCAAAAAATATAGATATCATACATCCTTGAAAACAAGCTGGAGCATTACATAGTCCAAAAGACATCCTACGATAAGCATAAGTTCCATATGGACATGTAATTGTGGTTTTACTTTGGTCATCTGGATGGATCGGAATCTGGTGATAACCTGAATACCCATCAAGGAAATAGAAGAAAGAGTGATTTGTTAGTCGCTCCAACATTTCATCAATGAAGGGCAACGAAAAATGATATTTCTTTGTTGCCTTATTAAATTTTCGATAGTCAATGCACATCCGCTATCCAGTGATGGTTCTTTGGGGGATTAATTCATTTTTTCATTTTTAACAACAGTCATGCCTACCTTTTTAGGCACAACTTGAATAGGACTTACCCACTCACTATACGGAACGGGATAGATGATGCCGGCGTGCAATAGTTTCAAAACCTTTCTTAACAACCTCTCTCATTGCATTATTAAGCCTACGCTGTGGCTCACTAGAAGGTATAGATTAGGGTCTAGGGATGCGATGGGTGCAAAGAGCAGGGCTAATTCCCTTAAGGTCTTGGAAAGAGTAGTCAAAAGTAGAACGATGCTTTTATAAGACAATTATCAAGCATAGGGATCCTTCTAGAGAGAGTTTATCACTTATGATCACAAGAGAATATTGATCATTATTGAGAAAAGCACATCTAATACCAGAAAGCAGGGGTTTAAGCTCAATGGTGGGCTTAGGTGGTTCTAGCAATTCATCTAGAGGTTCAGAATCTGTAGGGTTTTCCTCCTCTTCTTCGATGAAGAACTGGGCATCATCTTCAAAGTTGGGTTTGATCAAATCATCAAGAGATGCAACCTTAACCTCTTCCATTAGTTCTTCCTTAGGAATCGACTCAGTATCAATATTTAGAGTATGAGTGATGGGTATAGAAAGCTTAAAGTTTTTCCCAAGTCTTATCTTCGACTTCCCCGTTTGTCCTTCTTGGATAAGCCTTTCAATTGGTTGTCCTATCAATAGGTCGAACTTTATGATATCATAGATATAAAAGCTCAAATGAACCATGGTTCCTTTTACCTGGATAGGGAGGACATACAATATCCCCAAACTTGAGAGAATGTGTCCTAAAAGACTTTTCAATAACTTTGTTGTTAGGGTTAATGGCATGTGTTTCAATAAATCATGAGCAAAAGATGCAGACATGATATTAACACCTACAACTGGATTATAAAGAGCATCGAAAGGAGCTTTGTTGATTTGGCAACGAATGGAAATAGAAGGTGAATCTAGACGAATCACATCATAGGAAAGCTCTGATTCTTCTAACCATTCATTGCTTATTATGGACACTAGCTCTTTCATAGTCTTTTTAAGGAAAGCTTCCTCAGAAGGGTCTAAAGATTCTTCATGGGATGATGATTTCCTAGGCTTCTAGGGTCTCCTCATAGCATGGTAATTCGAGGTATTTCCATATTCATCAAAAAGTTCATCCTTGAATTCAAGCATGAAATTCGACATTGGAGTTTCCTCCGTTTCTAATGGTTTGGGATTTGGGATAGCTAAAGTTGGTGATGGGTTAGGCAAAGGCTCTGGTTCAGCTATCTAGGATTCCTCCTCTAGCGGCTTATTTTCTACTTCTTCAGGGGTGTTCTCAAGAATTTTAGTAAGAATGCTTCTCCCCGAATTGGCAGAAACATGGAGGAACGAGCCTCCTGAAGCTGTATCAAGACGCTTTGAGGTTTTCCTATTAAGACTAATGTAAAAATATTGAAGGAGAATGGGGTTTTGAATGGCAAGGTCAGGGTCAGTATTAATGAGAGCATTAAAACGTTCCCAAGCCATGCCTAGAGATTCTTTTTTTTTTGTTTAAAAGATAGAACCTCTGAACGAAAGCTGACTACTCTAGAGATGAGAAAGAAATGTAAGCAAAAGCTAGAACACAAGGCTTCCCAATCTCCTTGTCTACTCCCTATGGTGAGCTTGTACCAACGTTTAGCTCTTCCCTTCAAAGAGAAAGAAAAAAGCTTCCATCGTAAGGTTTTATCTGACATGCCTGCTATGCGTAGGCATGCACAGGTTGCTCAAAGTCATTTAGGTGGGAATAGGGATTTTAATCATCTTCGCCCGAAAAGATTGAACCTGGACTATGTTAATTAAACACGGGCGCAGCTCATAGCCAGGTATTAGGACAGGCTTTAAAGATTCTAGTGGCTCTAGGCGTGCGCTCGTAGGTGCAGCGTATTGGTAGATAGGGGTAGATGCTAGATCCATGGTAAAAAGAAAAGATAAAAGATAAAAGATAATGATATAAGGATAAGCTAGGTTCAAAGTTAACTCAGCAACCGTTTCCCTAGCAATGGCGCCAGAAATGTTTGTTGGTATAAATTAATGCACATAGAATAATCCGCAAGCGCACAGATATTATACCGATGTAGCATTTCATTGGGAGTACCCAGTTTTATATCGATCTCAAAAAAACATGTGTGAGAATAACAAATCTAACTTAGAGACAGCTGACCCAGCCGCCTCTATAAAGCATCTACAACCGCCTCTAAAAATATTGGCTGTAGTAGTCATATTTTGCACCATTTGACGACATGTATAGCCACCATGGTTGACATCGGTAGGATGTCCCCTAGCCACACAAAGGGATCAAGACCCGCGGCCAGCATGCATATAGCCGTCCTTTTGTATTTAGAACATCAGAGCTTAATTTATGTACAAATATAAAATAGATTTTACACAAAATCATGTACAGAGGTTGCATTACCGGTTATGTGTTATATGGAAAGGTTCACTACCGGTTGTGATAGTACTCACCCATGACATCTCAACCAATTTAATTGTAGCGTTATTTTTTTTAAAAAATTGTAGCGTTACGTTGAGAAACATCCAAAACCAAACATGTGCATGCTAATGTCTTTATTACATAGACACATACGGCCCTTACACAGGAAGGTTCAAAATGACTCGAATGCATGGTACTGTATATAGACTTTGCAGCTCTATGACTACGACGTGGCAAAACAAGCTAGCTAGCTAGCTGCGTTATCTTTGGATGCAAGTGCAAAATGAGTATCACGACTTGTGCTCAACCCTTGTAGTGTTGTAAGCCGAGCCGATGCCAACACGCGGATCTCATGGACTGGAGAGCTGGAGGTGTCATGCATGATGCATGTGTGGTGTCCACAATGACAAGTAGCTGGTGGCTGTACAATGTGGTCCGAAGTATGTATGTGATCTAGCTTGACAGGAAGGCGGCTGCGCGGGAACTAATGTCGTTTAATGGACCCGGTCACCCGGCCAGTTCGCTGACCCTTAATTATCACGCATTTTTTAGTGGTAGACATACATACAGGATAGACCTGCCGAGATATATTCACATCCCTGTCATGCATAATATTATTTTGGGGGCCATGGGCACTTGATTTTTTGTCCACAGGATCTGGACCATGTTCCGTAGCACATCACTGTCCACATTCACAGACGATGGCGAAAATTGACGGTGAAAGACGGTCACGGAATCGGCGGTGGTGATGATTTCTAATTGAACGCATAGAGTGGTTTGCATCAAAACACGATGTTTTCCCTTGTCAGTAAGCAAGCCTAAGCTTAGGCTTAGCCTAAGCTTCGGCACAGTTATGAAAATTTTAAAAGTTTATGTATTCGTATTAAAAATAAACTTGTACATGCATATAAAAGTTCGTATATATTGCTAAACATGTATATATACTACAAATGGGATCGTTTAATCCAAATCCCTAATTCGGATATCATCGTCATTATCTACACCCTAAAGAAAATTCTAGGCACTATAGGCATATAATAAGATCTCTCAACATATTATCGAAAGAATTCCGTGACCATGAGGCCCTCTGCTACTGTTGATCGCACAGTTTAGACGCTGCTCATGCACGGTTACATCCCCTGCTCAGTAACTGTTCACCAACTGCTGCAGTTTGTACATACTATGCCCGCGCCAGGTCGGCCCCTTCGTTTCACTGCTGCTGGGGTTTAATTTCATCATATAGCGCTAACGCCTTGCTCGCCACTATATATAACTCCACGCGAGCATGCCAAGAAGAGACCACAAACAAACCGCAAAGCAAGCCAAGCACGAGAGAGAAAAGGATCACAATGAGCTCAAGCGTCACCCGGTCGCTGCCTTTTCTCGTCAACCCGGCTGAGGCCACGCCCGCCGGCGATCTCCACCTCACCGCCATGGACAGAGCTCTTGCTTCCCTGCCCATGGCAGCACTGTTGGTCTTCGACAACCCCATCGATCAGCCGGCCGAGAGCATCAAGAGAGCTCTGTCTCGTGCGCTTGTTCCATACTACCCAATGGCCGGCCGCCTCACCGGCACCGGCGACCAGCTGAAAATCGTGTGCACCGGTGAGGGCGTGGTGTTCGTTGGCGCGTCTGCGAGCTGCACCCTGAAGGAGGCCAGGCTCTCCGATCCGCGACCGGTGCTCACCGTCGAGGACCTCACTATCAGCTATGCCGGCCAGTACAGCACGGATCCGTCATTGCTGCAGATGCAGGTGACCGAGTTCTCCTGCGGTGGCTTTGTCGTCGGGGTGACGTGGAACCACGTCGTCACAGACGGCGCCGGGATGGCGCAGTTCTTGCAGGCCGTCGGCGAGTTTGCCCGCGGGTTCCCTTCTTCCCCTTCCGTCTGGCCGGTGAGGGTGGACCACGCCCTCCCTGAACTTCCCCCGCCCATAACCACCATGACCAAGGCACTCGTCAGCAGCAAGCACAGCGACTTCCCGTCCTCCTACATCACTGTTCCCCGGAGCTTCATCGACCGCGTCAAGGACGAGTTCCGTCGTCGTCGCAGCAGCGGTGGCGGCGGACTGGAGGTGGCGCCGGCGTCGTGCACTGCGTTCGATGTCTTCACCGCCGCCATATGGAAGTGTCGTGCGCGCGCGACGATCGCCAGCGCCGCCAGCCAGGACTCTCCCACGGCGCTCACCTTCACGGTGAACGTGAGGAAGCCGGCCAAGGCCAAGGACGGCTACTACGGCAACGTGTTCGCCTTCGGTCTTGCTGCCTCGACGCTGCGCGAGGTCGCGGACGGCGACATCCTGGACCTCGTGAGGCTGGTCAAGGACGCTAAGGCACGAGTCCCGCACATGTTCGCTGACGGAGCGGCGTACATCGCGGACGCGATGGGCGGCCGGCTCAAGGGCCTCGACGGGTACGACACCCTGTACGTGACGAGCTGGTGGAATCTCGGCTTGGACGACGTCGACTTCGGCAGCGGCGGCGCTGAGCGCGTCATGGGGAACGTGGAGCGCAAGGTGGTGCCGGGGTGCATCCTGTGCGGGAGGAAGGACGACAAGGCCGAGGGCGTCGCCGCCATGGCGCTCTGCGTCAGGCAGGAGCACGCGGAGGCCTTCCATGCGGAGCTGCAAAGCCTCAAGTGACGCGGATGTTGCATGTAACCCAGAGTACACTAAGCCGGGAACGTGAGTTCAAAAGCCAGTGGTGGAGGAGCAGTGACCGCGCTCATGCACGACGTGTCTTCTGCAGTTATCTTTTCTGTGTGTGTTTGCCTATGTGTAGGCAGTTGTTTATCTCAGGGTTGTGTCTTGTAAATGCTGCTGGTATAAGTAGCTTGTGTTAGCATCATTTGGAATTGTTTTAGACCATTTGTAATCGTCATGTACTCGTCACACAAATCTGAGGAAAATAGCTCTGTCAGCGCTTTGTTGACAGTTGCTGAAATCCATGTTCTTTAGTTTTTCAGTGCATTTTACATTTGCATCGAATCCGGTTAGGATTAGCCAGCATCAAAGCATGTGATCTGTGATCCTAATTCCAACATTTGATATCAGAGCCATAGATCATGCGATCTTGCATCCAGAATCTCACCGAGAGTTCATCCATGTCGACATCGGGTGGCGGTGACGGAGGTCGGGGAGATAGCAGCTGAGGGCACCATCAGGTGTTCCCAACGTTGACAGCGACTAACTTCATCAGCTGGAGTATTCGGGTGCAGGCGATCATGGAGGAGCAGGGGTGGTGGGAGGTGGTGGAGCCGCCGGAGGGGACGTCGGCGGACAGGTAGACGGAGGCGGCAGCGAGCAAGGACAAGAAGGTGCGGGCACATCTGTTTCAGTGCCTGTCCGATGACTTCTTGATGCAAGTTGCGAAGAAGAAATCAGGGAAGGAGGTGTGGGACTCCCTGAAGGCCCGATTCGTGGGTGCAGATCATGTGCGAGATGCATGGTTGCAAACACTGAAGGCGGAGTTCGACGCATTGAAGATGAAGGAAGAGGAGACAATTGATCAGTTTGCTGCGAAGTTGACAGCGATGTCGGTGAGGTACAGCAACCTTGGCGGGACGATGGAGGATGCGGCGTTGGTGAAGAAGTTATTCGACACCATGCCTGATCGATTCCTGAACGTTGTGGCTGGGATCGAACAGTTCTTTGATCTGAAGTCGGTGGCATTCGACGAAGCAGTGGGAAGATTGAAGGCATTTGAGGAGCGGACGAAGCGGGGAGCCAGATCCATGACGAGCAACAGTAGTGGTTAGTTGCTGTTGACCCAGGCGGAGTGGGAAGCCAAATACAAGAGGTCTGGAGGAGGTGATTCTTCAGAGAGAGGTAGTGGTGGCGGCCAGGGTGGCGGTCGTGGCCTTGGCAAGGGTCGGGGTGGCCGAGGTGATTCATCTGGGAAATATGGAGCAGGAGGCACCAGAGACAAAAGCCACATTAAGTGCTTCAAGTGTCACAAAACTGGGCATTATGCAAATAGGTTTCCAGAAGCCAAGAAGCAAGATGAGGCACACCATGCTCGTGCAGATGAGGGCAAGGAGCCACAAGCACTCATGCTTGCAGAAACTGAGGAAGTGGTTTCAGGAGGCAACGGGGATAGTGTGTTTCTACAAGAGAAAAAAGTATTGCCTAAATTGCATCTGACAGGTGACAGTGAGTCATCAAGAGATCTATTTTATCTTGACAATGGTGCTAGCAACCATATGACAGGTGATATGGAGATGTTCGAGACTCTTGATGAAAGAATCACTGGAAAAAGTGAAATTTGGAGATGGCTCTACTATTGAGATCAAAGGTAAAGGTACAATCTTGTTCCAATGCAAATCTAGTGATCAGTGGGCTTTGACTGAGGTGTTTTTCATACCAAAACTTCGTAGCAATTTGATAAGCCTAGGTCAACTGACTGAAACTGGACACAAAATTTTACTTGATGATGATGTTTTAGAGGTATTTGAGAAAAACACTTTTAGATTGGTCATGAAGGTAGAGAGAACTCCGAATAGATTGTATAAGATTGAGTTGGATGTAGCTGCACCAGTTTGTTTTCTTGCTAGTGTCAGTGATGAAGCCTGGCTTTGACATGGAAGATTGGGTCATACAAATTTCCATTCACTGAAATTGTTATCTAACAAGAAAATGGCAGAAGGGGTGCCAGCTATTTCACATCCTGATCAGCTGTGTAGAGCTTGTTTGTCTGCTAAACAAACTAGATGCTCCTATCCAAAAGTGGCTAACTAGAGGGCACAGAAGAAATTGGAGGTGGTCCATGTTGATCTGTGTGGTCCAATTTCACCATCAACAACAGGAGGAAATAGGTATTTCATGTTGTTGATTGATGACTACACCAGGTGGAGTTATGTGTATGTGTTGAAGACCAAGGATCAAGCTCTTGATGCTTTTGTGAAATTCAAGGCTAAGGCGAAGAATGTGACTGGTGAAAAGATCAAGGCTCTGAGGTCTGACAAAGGTGGAGAATTCATTGTAGGCACATTCAGTGAAGTGTGTGAGAGGGCTGGGATTTAGAGGCACTTTACTGCACCATACTCCCCACAGCAAAATGGTGTAGTTGAAAGAAAGAATAGAATAGTGATGGAGATGGCAAGATCACTGTTAAAGAGCATGAATGTTCCTGGAAAGCTTTGGGGTGAAGCAGTGAGACATTCTATGTATCTGTTGAACAGGCTGCCTACTATGGCCATGAGTGAGAAGACACATTTTGAAGTTTGGTGGGGAAGGAAACCAAATTTGGGTTATCTAAAGGTGTTTGGGTGTACTGCTCATGTCAGAACAGGAGGTCCTCATTTGAAAAAGCTAGAAGATAGGAGTAGACCAATGGTCTATTTAGGTGTTGATGAGGGGTGCAAGGCACATAGGCTGCTTGATGTAATTAACAACAAAATTGTTGTTAGTAGAGATATCATTTGTGAAGAAGCAATGACTTGGGATTGGTCCAAGAATTCTATTGAGGATGTATCAACTGAATTTGTTGTTGAGAATGAGCTTAGGAGTTGGAGTCATGGTGTGGGAGGAATGATTGGTGGAGAAGATGCTCAGCAGACAGTTCCTGAGTCAGGGGGAGCATTGGGTTCTTTAGGTTCAGGAACACCAACTGATTCAGCTATCCACAACAACATATTGCCAGATCAGCTACAATCCTCAGGAGCAGTAGCAGATGTTGGGGCAGATGTGATGACTCCAGTCTCAATAGGTGGACAGCCAGCCAGTGCAGCATCAGGTCATGGTTATGGACAGCACTCAAATAGTCTATTGCTAAATAGTCAACAGTATGATGAGAGCCCTGTCAGATTCAGGAATCTGAATAAGATATATGAAATGATAGAAGAGATAGAGCTTGACTCTGATGTTGAGGCCTTATTAGTAGTTATGGAAGAGCCTACTTGCTATAAGGATGTTGCTGGTGATGAGAATTAGGGGGCAGCAATGAGGAGTGAATTACAGTCCATCTCAAAGAATAGAACTTGGGAGCTGGTTAAGCTACCACAAGGACAGAGACCTATTGGGCTAAAATGGGTGTTCAAATTGAAAAGAAATGCTGATGGAGAGGTGATCAAGCATAAGGCAAGGTTGGTGGAAAAAGGGTATGTACAAAAACAAGGGGTTGATTTTGAAGAAGTTTTTGCACCAGTTGCTAGGCTTGATACAGTCAGAATGATTCTAGCAATAGCTGCCAACAGAGGACGGCAGGTACACCACTTAGATGTGAAAACTGCATTCCTCAATGGTGACCTTGAGGAAGAGGTTTATGTTTCCCAACCTGAAGGCTTTAAAGTCAAAGGTAAGGAGAAGCATGTACTGAAGCTCAGCAAGGCTTTGTACGGGCTTAGGCAGGCTCCAAGGGCCTGGAACATCAAGCTTGATAAGTGTTTGAAGAGTCTAAGATTCACCAAGTGTGCTAGTGAGCCAGCTGTCTACACTAGGGGAACAGGGAAGGATGCAGTGGTCCTAGGTGTGTATGTTGATGAACTGATTGTGATAGGGAGTAATCCAGCTGAGATCTTGAAGTTCAAGCAAGAAATGACAACTCAATTTGAGATGAGGGACTTGGGGTTACTGTCATTCTATCTGGGTATTGAAGTTGATCAGCAGCAAGATTTTATTGCAATCAAGCAATCAAGCTATGCTAGAAAGATTTTGAATCAGTTTGGTGTGGGTGGCTGCAACCCAACCAAAATTCCAATGAATCCAGGAATAAAGCTTCACCAGGATAAAGATTGTAAACCTGTTAATGGAACTGAATACAGAAAGATGATTGGCGCTTGAGGTATTTGTTACATACATGACCTGATCTTGCATACTCAGTTGGGATGGCTAGTAGGTTTATGGAGAAGCCTACTATCATGCATCTGCAGGCAGTGAAGCAAATCTTGAGGTATCTCAAAGGTACAGTTGACATGGGACTTGTTTGCACTCAAGCTGGTGGTGAAGAAGTGTTGGTGGGCTACACTAACAGTGATTTATCTAGTGATTTGGTTGGAAGGAGGAGCACTGGAGGTATGGCCTTCTATCTAAATGGCAATCTGATTACTTGGTGCTCCCAGAAGCAGAAAATTGTGGCATTGTCATCATGTGAGTCAGAGTTTATGGCAGCAATAGCAGCAGCTATGCAGACCATTTGGCTCAAGAATTTGTTGAGTGAAGTGACATCAACAAAGATAAAGGTGGTGGCATTGTTTGTGGACAACAATTCTACAATTGCACTGATGAAGAATCCTATTTTTCATGGAAGAAGCAAACACATTAATACAAGGTATCATTTTATCAGAGAGTGCATTGAAAGAGGTCAGATTGTTGCCAAGAGAGTTGGGACTGAAGAGCAGAAAGCAGATTCACTGACTAAAGCTCTAGCAGCTGGGAGTCTGATGGTGATGAGGCATATCCTCAGTGTCAGGGATCTTAGTGTACTGCAGGGTTTAGGGGGAGAATGTTGCATGTAACCCAGAGTACACTAAGCCAACTAGCCAAGCACTGATGTGGCAGGTGTTGTGCCAAGGCGGGAACGTGAGTTCCAAAGTCAGTGGTGGAGGAGTGGTGACCGCGCTCACGCACGATGTGTCTTCTGCAATTATCTTTTCTATGTGTGTTTGCCTCTGTGTAGGCAGTTGTTTATCTCAGGGTTGTGTCTT